TATCACAGGGGTGATATAATATATCAGATTATCACAGGTAGGATATAATATATCAGATTATCACAGGGAGGATATAATATCAGATTATCACAGGGGGGATATAATATAATATCATATCACAGGGAGGATATAATATATCAGATTATCACAGGGAGGATATAATATAATATCAGATTATCACAGGGGGATATAATATAATATCAGATTATCACAGGGAGGATATAATATATCAGATTATCACAGGGAGGATATAATATAATATCAGATTATCACAGGGGGGATATAATATAATATCAGATTATCACAGAGGGATATAATATCAGATTATCTACAGGATATAATATCAGATCACAGGGGGGATATAATATCAGGTCTGAGGATATAATATCAGGTAGAGGATATAATATCAGATTATCACAGGGGGGATATAATATAATATCAGATTATCACAGGGGGGATATAATATAATATCAGATTATCACAGGGGGGATGTAATATAATATCAGATTATCACAGGGAGGATATAATATAATATCAGATTATCACAGGGGGGATATAATATAATATCAGATTATCACAGGGAGGATATAATATAATATCAGATTATCACAGGGGGGATATAATATCAGATTATCACAGAGGGATATAATATAATATCAGATTATCACAGGGGGGGATATAATATCAGATTATCACAGGGGGGATATAATAGATTATCACAGGGGTGATATAATATATCAGATTATCACAGGTAGGATATAATATATCAGATTATCACAGGGAGGATATAATATCAGATTATCACAGGGGGGATATAATATCAGATTATCACAGGGAGGATATAATATATCAGATTATCACAGGGAGGATATAATATAATATCAGATTATCACAGGGGGATATAATATAATATCAGATTATCACAGGGAGGATATAATATATCAGATTATCACAGGGAGGATATAATATAATATCAGATTATCACAGGGGGGATATAATATAATATCAGATTATCACAGGGAGGATATAATATAATATCAGACTATCACAGGGGGGATATAATATAATATCAGATTATCACAGGGAGGATATAATATCAGATTATCACAGGGGGGATATAATATCAGATTATCACAGGGGGGATATAATATAATATCAGATTATCACAGGGGGGATATAATATCAGATTATCACAGGGGGGATATAATATAATATCAGATTATCACAGGGAGGATATAATATAATATCAGATTATCACAGGGGGGATATAATATAATATCAGATTATCACAGGGAGGATATAATATATCAGATTATCACAGGGGGATATAATCTAATATCAGATTATCACAGGGAGGATATAATATATCAGATTATCACAGGGAGGATATAATATAATATCAGATTATCACAGGGGGGATATAATATCAGATTATCACAGGGAGAATATAATATCTGATTATCGCAGGGAGAGAATAATATCTGATTATCACAGGGAGAGAATAATATCTGATTATCACAGGGAGAGAATAATATCTGATTATCACAGGGAGAGAATAATATCTGATTATCACAGGGAGAATATAATATCAGATTATCACAGGGAGAATATAGAAACATAGAATGTGACGGCAGATAAGAACCATTCGGCCCATCTAGTCTGCCCAATTTTCTAAATACTTTCATTAGTCCCTGGCCTTATCTTATAGTTAGGATAGCCTTATGCCTATCCCACGCATGCTTAAACTCTTTTACTGTGTTAACCTCTACCACTTCAGCTGGAAGGCTATTCCATGCATCCACTACCCTCTCAGTAAAGTAATACTTCCTGACATGCCCGGACTGTCTTCCATGGAGGGCCGGTGGGGAGATCAAAGATCTCCCTCACCGGCCCATTCAAATAAACCTGCGGCTGGGGAGGGAGAGGACCCGGCGGAGCTCTATCTTGCAGCTCCGCCGGGTTCCTCTCGCGAGATCGGGAGCGTTGCCATGGCAACGCCCCGATCTCGCGAGAGAGAACTCTAGCCCCTCAGGCTAGAGTTCACTCACCACTGGACCACCAGGGATGGTGTGCGCGTGCCGGTCCCCCTCCTCCCAGCTACCACGTGCCTGTCCCCCCCTCCCAGGTTAAAGGTAAGAAGGGAGGGGGGGATTTAATGCCTGCTTAGTTTTTTTTTATTGTTTATTTACCCCCCCTTAGTTTTTTTATTGTTTATTTACTCCCCTTAGTTTTTTTTATTGTTTATTTACCCCCCCTTAGTTTTTTTATTTGTATGTTTACTCCCACTTAGTTTATTTGTTTACCCCCCAACACACAACATTTATACACAGCACTCTCACACACATCATACACAGCACTCTCACACACATCATACACTGCACCCTCACACAAATCAATCACATACAGCACTCACACACATAGCACCCTCACAAAGCACACACACATACTACACCCACAACCCCCGATACACTGCATCACACACACACACAATACTTCCAAACATATTTATATAAAAATATATATATACACACACACACACACATAGCACCCCTCACACACACTGCACCCCTAAATACATTACATTCCAGACACACACTAGATCCTTTACCCAACTCTGAATAATCTACATACATACCCACACGCTAGATCCCTATATACACTCTGAATCCATTATATAGGCACGCTCACTAGATCTCTTATACATATTCTGGGTCCTTCAAACACACACAAGACTTATATACATTCATACATACATACACACACACACACACTAGATTCCTTGTAAGCAAACACATACTACATTCCCTGAACACACACTCTCTACAAACACTACATCACCTATACACACACACACACACACACACACACACTATAGCCTGTATGCACACACTTGCTACATCCCCTATACACACATTCTCTACAGCCCCTAGACACATATGCATTACATTACACCACAAACACAACACGACTAAAACCAACCTTATTACATAATACCACACCACGACCAGCTCACTCTGCACACACACAATACCACAAGCAGGCTCCAAACACATGCACAATACTCTTTCCTGGCCCTTTTGTCTCCTGGTATCCATTTATAGAGACACCAGAGACAAGTTGCAAGGAAACACAGTGCAAGCATGTTGTTATTACATTTGCTTGCACTGTACAGAACAAATACAGGGCTTTTTCTCATGCTAGAGCTCTTCAGCAGAGCTCTGCGCATGGTCTGCCCTGGAAGAGCATTGAACCAACATGCTCACTTTGAGAGGGGGCGTGTTTGTCATGAGTGATGACAAAACACACCCTCTCTGCCCCACCCCCTTCTTAGTGGGCCGCTGTGATAAAAAAAAATGCCCGGGGCGAATTTTTTTCCCAGTCCGGGCCTGCTTCCTGATAATATTTTTAAACCTTTGTCCCTCTAATTTAAGACTGTCCTCTTGTTGTGGTAGTTTTTCTTCTTTTAAATATAGTCTCCTCCTTTACTGTGTTGATTCCCTTTATGTATTTAAATGTTTCTATCATATCCCTCCTGTCTCGTCTTTCCTCCAAGCTATACATGTTAAGATCCTTTAATCTTTCCTGGTAAGTTTTATCCTGCAATCCATGAACCAGTTTAGTAGCCCTTCTCTGAACCCTCTCTAAGGTATCAATATCCTTCTGAAGATACGTCTCCAGTACTGTGTACAATACTCCAAGTGAGGTCTCACCAGTGTTCTGTACAATGGCATGAGCACTTCCCTCTTTCTACTGCTAATACCTCTCCCTATACAACTAAGCATTCTGCTAGCATTTCCTGCTGCTCTATTACATTGTCTGCCTACCTTTTAAGTCATCAGAAATAATCACCCCTAAATCCCTTTCCTCATATGTTGAGGTTAGAACTCTATCAAATATTCTGTACTCTGCCCTTGGGTTTTTACGTCCAAGATGCATTATCTTGCACTTATTCACATTAAATGTCAGTTGCCACAATTCTGACCATTTTTCTAGTTTACCTAAATCATTTGTCATTTGGCTTATCCCTCCTGGAACATCAACCCTGTTACATATCTTAGTATCATCAGTAAAAAGACATACCTTACCATCAAGACCTTCTGCAATATCACTAATAAAAATATTAAAGAGAATGGGTCCAAGTACAGATCCCTGAGGTACCCCACTGGTGACAAGTCCAAGCTTCGAATATATTCCATTAACTACAACCCTCTGTTGCCTGTCACTCAGCCACTGCCTTACCCATTCAACAATATTTGAATCCAAACTTAAAGATTGCAGTTTATTGATAAGCCTTCTATGTGCAACAGTGTCAAAAGCCTTACTGAAATCTAGGTAAGCAATGTCTACTGCACCACTCTGATCTATAATTTTAGTTACCCAATCAAAAAAATCAATAAGATTAGTTTGGCATGATCTCCCTGAAGTAAACCCATGTTGTCTCTGATCTTGAAATCCATGTGTTTTTAGATGTTCATCAATCCTATCCTTTAACATGGTTTCCATCACTTTCCCCACTACTGAAGTAAGGCTTACTGGCCTATAGTTGCCCGACTCCTCCCTATTACCTTTCTTGTAAATGGGCACAACATTCGCTAACTTCCAATCTTCTGGGACTACTCCTGTTAACAATGATTGATTAAATAAATCTGTTAATGGTTTTGCTAGTACACCACTAAGCTCTTTTAATAGCTTTGGGTGTATTCCATCAGGTCCCATTGACTTATTTGTCTTTACTTTTGACAGTTGAAATAGAACCTCTTCCTCTGTAAACTCACGTGTAATAAATGACTCATTTATCCTTTTTCTCAACTGAGGTCCCTTTCCTTCATTTTCATCTGTAAATACAGAACAACAATATTCATTGAGGCAGTCAGCTAGACCTTTATCCTCTTCTACATACCTTCCTTCTTTTGTTTTTAATCTAACTAATCCTTGTTTTACTTTTCTTTTCTCATTTATGTATCTAAAAAATTTTGTCCCCCTTTTTTACTGACTGTGCTATTTTCTCTTCTGTGTGTGATTTGGAAGCTCTTATAACTTGCTTAGCCTCTTTCTGCCTAATCTTATAGATCATTTTGTCTTCCTCACTCTGTTTTTTTTTATAATCCCATTTCTCTTGGACTCCATTTAAATTGCTCCAGTCTGATAATGACTCCCCTACCCATATTCTAATTTTAGAAAAGTCTGCTTTCCTAAAGTCTAAAACTTTTGTTTTTGTGTGGTGTGACTCAGTCACTGTTCATATATTAAACCACACTGACTGATGATCACTGGATCCAAAACTTTCACCTACAGTAATATCTGATACCAAATCTCCATTTGTTAACACTAAATCTAGTATGGCCTCTTTATGAGTTGGCTCCTCAACGACTTGTTTTAGAGACAATCCCAGTAGGGAGTTTAGAATATGTGTGCTCCTGGCACAAGTAGCTAATTTTGTTTTCCAATTTACATCAGGAAGATTAAAGTCACCCATGATGATAACTTCCCCTTCATTGTCATTTTAGCTATTTCCTCAACTAGTAGATTATCTAACTCTTCAATTTGTCCTGGGGGCCTATAAATCACACCTACACGAGTTACTGTGTGATTACCAAATTCTAACGTAACCCAAACAGACTCTATGTTTGCCTCACTAACTTTTATTAGGCTAGATTTTATGCTATCCTTCACATACAAGGCCACCCCTCCCCCTTTCTTGCCTTCCCTATCTTTCCTATATAAAGAGTACCCTGGTATTGCTATGTCCCAGTCATTTTTCTCATTGTACCATGTCTCAGTAACAGCGACTAAATCTACACTATCAGTTGCCATTATTGCCACAAGTTCATGGATCTTATTCCCTAAACTGTGAGCATTTGTAGGCATGACTCTAAGCTTATCATTTTTTAACACACTTGCTACAGGCACCTTCTGTCCTTGTTTTGGGGGACAATTGGATTGATGTTTTATCACCCTTTTGCCCCCCCACCCTCCTAGTTTAAATACATCCTAGCAAAACCTCTGAACTGCTCACTGAGAACATTTGTTCCCTTTTGAGAAAGATGCAAACCATCTTTTTTGTACAGCTTATCTCCATTCCAAACAGAGCTACCATGAGAAATAAAGCCAAATCCTTGCTCCCGACACCATTCACCAAGCCACAAATTAAAGTCCCTAATACGCATCCGCCTGTCGTTCTGAGTGTTATGCACAGGCAGAACTTCAGAGAATGACAGTGTGGAAGCAACCTGCCGTATATCATTGGCAAAAACACTAAAACTTCCTTAACCTCTGAAACCTCATTGCAAGCCAAGTCATTTGTCCCTAGATGGACAAGTACATCCAATTCCCCTTCCTGCTTTGCTTGCTTAACAATATTACAGATACGTCTCCTGTCTCTGTGAGCAGTAGCTCCGGGAAGACACCTCACAAGACCACCATTGTCCATCTCCCACACCTCTTATAATGGAATCCCCCAACAACAACTGCTTTCTATTAGGCCTCACCATAGTCTCCAAGCCGGTCTCCACAACACCACTAGTCTCCGTGCCTCTCTCCACAACACCACTAGTCTCCGTGCCTCTCTCCACAACACCACTAGTCTCCGTGCCTCTCTCCACAACACCACTAGTCTCCGTGCCTCTCTCCACAACACCACTAGTCTCCGTGCCTCTCTCCACAACACCACTAGTCTCCATGCCTCTCTCCACAACACCACTAGTCTCCGAGCCTCTCTCCACAACACCACTAGTCTCCGAGCCTCTCTCCACAACACCACTAGTCTCCGTGCCTCTCTCCACAACACCACTAGTCTCCGTGCCTCTCTCCACAACACCACTAGTCTCCGTGCCTCTCTCCACAACACCACTAATCTCCGTGCCTCTCTCCACAACACCACTAGTCTCCGTGCCTCTCTCCACAACACCACTAGTCTCAGTGCCTCTCTCCACAACACCACTAGTATTTGGGAACCAATAAAGCAATTTGTTTTTTTTGTTTTTGTTTTTTAAAGTCATGTTTTCCATTTCAATAACAACAACCACCTAGCAGTAAGATAATTCAGTAAACCAAGCCTGTGCGGCCATCGATGCTCAGTCGGATATTTTATTATGTTTGTATTCTATTGTTATGCCGTATAGTGTATTTTACTTTAACTCTCTTTTTTTTTTTTTTTTTTATTTCCTTCAGAGATTCTAATATTTCCTATCGTAACCATGGCAACTGCTTTGGCGACCACAACCAGCAGGAAGAGAGAAAAGGGCACACCTTTTGAAGGTACCCCGCCATCACTGCCAGTGGACCAGCATAAAGGAAAGGTGTGGAATTATTATACCAAGCTACGTGGCACGTGTGTGGAATGTAATGTCTGCAGGAAACAACTCTCAATTCATAACAGCACCACCACTCTGAGAGAGCATCTCCTGAAGTGGCACAGCTCCTGCACCCCTAAAATCGCAGAGGAGCATGAGCAGGACTTTCCCAGCCAGGAAGTGGCGCCCAAGAGATTGAAGCAGACACCACCAGGGAAAAAGTCATGCCCATCAGATTCTGAGAGCAGGACCGGGGTAATAGCAGATCTTGTATTAGAAATGGTATGCCGTGATCTTCATCCTCTGTCTGTGGTCGAGGATAAAGGGTTTGGTCTCCTCCTTGAGTATTTTGAGCCTAGTGTAAATCTCCCATCATCTACACAGCTATCTGCCCTCCTATGCCATCGATACAATGTAATGAAGCAACAGCTGAGATGTCACTTGCAGGACTCCAAGGCCATAGTCCTCTCTGTAGAGAGCTGGTCCTCTTGCCTTAACCATCCATGCCAGGCCATTACTGCCAACGTCATTGATGGCGAGTGGCATTGGGCACAATACATGTTAGGATCCCAAGAGCTCCATACAGGCAAGACAGAAGATTGCTTAGTTGAGAGACTGTGTTCTGTTGTAGGAGAGTATGACTTGTCCAGAAACCATGTATCTTGTGTTATGCATGACCAATTAGCTTCCATGTTGGCTCATGCTGACACCCTAAAAGACACACATGGCTGGACCAGTGTGTGCTGTGCCGCCCATGTCCTGCAGCTATGTGTTCGTGAGGGGCTTGAAATCCAAGACGTTAAAGAAGTATTGAGTGCAGCAAGAGGGTTGGTAAGTTACTTCCAACAGGATCTCCGAGCCTCCACCTATCTCAGTGCCAGGCTGGAGTCCATGAACAAGGCCAGGCCTGTAATGGACACAGAGTCCTGCTGGATCACAACTCTACACATGTGTCAGAGTTTGCTGAACATCAAGTGGGCCATCCTTTCTGTTATGGAGAACCAGCTTGTACAGAATCTGTCGAAGCAACACTGGAATCTTCTACAGGACTTAGTGTCCGTGCTAAAAATTGTATGGATTGCAACCATCTTCCTGCAGGAGGAGCAGAACACCTCTGTGTCGTCTGTAATTCCGTGTGTCCACGGTATCTTAAATGCCTTTACTCACTTTTCAGAAAATAGTAGCACCATTGGGAAAGCTTTTGTAAATCAAATACGGGTTGAGATGTGTCGCCATTGGGACATGGTGAATGAAGTAAACCTTTTGGCTAGTCCAGCTGTAGTGGCCTCTTTTTTTGATCCTCGTTACAAAGAGTTGAGGTTTCTTAAGCCTGAAGCTAGAGGAGAAGTGTACAGCAAAGTCATAAGTCTCCTGTCTCAGACCTGTGACACCCAGCCTGGGTTATTGTTAGATTCTGGGGTTGAAGAGACATTTGACCAGTGTCTGCAGAGGGACACATGTTCCCGTGTAATGCATGACAACTTGTATGACCTTCTTCTTGGGAAGGACCCAACCGAGATCATGCCAGAAGCTCGTCAGCAACTGGAAAGCTACATAGCAGAACCTGTCTGCAAGCGAAGTACTGACCCGCTCGTCTGGTGGAAGAGCAATCATCACCGATTTCCAGAGCTTGCTAGGCTTGCCCAACAATATCTGATCATACCTTCCACGGCAATACAACCAGAACGTGCCTTCTCTGCCAAACAGGGAACGATGGAGCAGCGCAGAGTCGTCCTGGAACAGAATTACATGGACTTTCTCTTGTTTATACATCATAACATGGACTTATTGGACCTGCCAAAAAAGCAATGACTCTGTTTCTAATTTGGATGGATTTCTATGTGGTCTGTTCTCAAACCCCAGACACAAGACAATACAATGGGTGGCTAGGAACCATTGCGCTGTTGGCTGTCTATCCACGCTGGTTTACAAATCAGACTTAGGACTCCTCAGCCAGGGCTGTCTGCTTTTAAGTACTTCTCTGGCTAGAGAGTATTGTATGCCTTCCCTGGATCTGGCATCACTCTCAGCCAGCAGGTTTCTTCAGCCTCATTCTAGCCTTGTTGATTTTATAACACACATCACATCATGATTTTGTCTAGTCTTGTTGATTTTATAACACACATCACCTTTAGCGGTTTTCACTTGTCTCATTCATGCACAGTTTTATATAAGCTTTTTTTTTCCACCCACCGAGCTTGAAAATTGAGGCATTAACTTGTAATTTATTTTGTTTCTATTTGAAGGACATTTTTCTATTTAAAAAAAAAAAAAAAAAAGCCTCATACCACTTAATTAAATAAAAAAAATTCAAACAACACACAGGATAGGTTTGGATGTTTACAGGGTTAATAATTTGTGCCAATAATGATTATTAAAAATGCTTTTAGAAAAAAACAAATTCTCTGAGTTTTCTTGATAACAGACCTCTGGAAGATGAACTCGTAGACAGTGAGTGACATGGGAGAGAGTTCCGTGAACAAGTGAAAAAAATCTAAACCCATGTTTACACATTCCGGACGTTTTAACTTTAATTTCAAACTGATTAGGAATTGTTTGCTCACTGGGAATTGTGGAGAATTAACTGGTGAATTGTACAAAATAAAACAATCTCCCGCTGTTATCTCCCAGATTTAATTCACAAAGGGAAATGGCCCTAAATGGTTAATATAAATAAAAGCATATAATAAAATAATGAACACAACACAACTATAATTAATTAGATCCTGCAGCATAACAGGGCCTAGTTTGGATGAAAACACAATTATTTGGGACTTTATCAAAAATCACGAGCTGCATACTCTTCATTTTATTGGGTAGAACGACATTAGAATTAAAACGATTTGTAAAATGCTGAAATATATATAATAAAACTCACCAATAAATCAGCAAAGCTTTAAATATATGGACAGACACGTATATGCTTTTCTACAGCGCCAATACAGCAGCAGCATGCATGATGGGAAATGGTCAACAGGAACAGACATAAAATTTAGCAATAATATAACTGATGAACAAAGCCCCAAATGTTCTTAAGGTATCATTTATAGCTTTTTGAATGGATTTTCCTATTTTTATGTAAATGTAATTAAATTCACATTTTTAGTGCACCCCTACAACATAAAATATTGAATAACCCCCATGTATATGTGTGTGTACTTAAATTAGAGCTAGACTTGTTTATGTAAATTTCCCTTTAGTTACTGAAGCAAAAACCTATATTTTCAAACCCGAGTTGCAATGTTTTAGAACATTTTTCAATCACCAGTCACTAGGAAAATTATGACTTTCCACATAATAATTTATTCTTGATAGAGGTTATAATTTTAAAGGAACACTTCAAATGAAAATGTTTGTTTTCTATCAAATTCGTAGATATTCCCCCATTGAAAACATTCATGTATATTTTTCATTAGGGGAATATCTCAAAATAGCTTGCAAAAGCTGCAGATCTCATTTCTGCATCATTTGTGAATCCTCCCCTTTTTATCCAAAACAGACTTTCAGGCTGTGCTGGAAAATTACCAATCAGAAGCATTTCATTTCTAAAAAAAAATCCAATATATATATTTTAATAATGTTTTAACCCCTTAAGGACACAACTTCTGGAATAAAAGGGAATCATGACGGAATAGTTCTGTCATGTGTCCTTAAGGGGTTAAACCTACTCTGGAGTGTATTGCTTGTTGTTCAGACTATTTCCTGCCTTTCTCTGTTCCACCACTTGCCACTGATCAAGAGACATAGAAATCACGTAGATATCACAGCTATATGACATAATATTAGACAATTAACCACATTTCAATAAATCTCTTAAATTGGACATGTTTTAACCACTTTAGGACCAAACTTCTGGAATAAAAGGGAATCATGACATGTCACACATGTCATGTGTCCTTAAGGGGTTAAACCCGAAAGTCACTATTTAATAAATTGTCCCTCAGAAATGACACTGCAAACTGTTGTAGAAGAAGAGGTGCCTGGCTTGGGACCATTTGTTTGGTCTCGGGCTGCAATGGCTGCATTACAGAGCATCACACACACATTGTTATGGTTTCTGTAAGGGTTAACTCTCTGTACCACAAAGTACAAAAAACATAAAATAAAGCTCATTTTAAAACTAAGCACATCTATATATTTAGTAGAAGAACAGAACAGACTGGGGGAGAAACAATTGGGTTCACTGAATGAGGAACCGCGAATGCTTAAATGACGGAAAAATAGCACGTTGGAGATTTCCTCCTAAAATTTGCTATTCTCCCCATTCCCAGTACAGACTGCTTTCTACACACCCCACAGGTTATTTAGTAAGCAAGTGAACGACGTGAAGACAGAAACATTATCCACGTCATTTCCTAAAATGACTTTTATTGTACAAAAGTAACTTTCTAACAATTATAAAGGGACAAACAGAAAATTAACATTTAATTTCTTGCGCAGCCTAGAATCACAGCAAATTGGGAAAAGGCATAAACTGGTAAAGACTGTGTTATTTCAAACTATCACAAGATATTCAAATATGGATAAGTGCCTTAAAGTACTTAAACCGATTAACCAAGGCAGCACACACAAAATGAAATGGCATAAATAGATACAGGAAAACAGCTTGTGCCTAGATAAAATAAAGGATAGATTTGGAACATATAAAAACAACAGACAAACCAGGATAAAATATACAGACAACGAATAAACCAGGGTAAAATATACAGACAACGAATAAACCAGGGTAAAATATACAGACAACGGACAAACCAGGATAAAAGATAAAATAAATTGTCCCAATGTGCTTCTGATGATCTCAGATCTTATGTGGTGGAATCCGTTCTCATAAGATGCAAATGTAGAAAAAGATGAAAACCAAGGGGATACTGATAGTGTTGTATGTAACACAATGAGTCGATAACATACAACAAAGTGCATAAGTCCCCACTCACATTTACTAGCGGTGTCATACAGCGTGTAGTAGTATAATCCCCATTAGTGGATCTAGATGAAGGTATGATCTCTCCCGTGGGTCACAGTGAGATATGTAAAGACAGAAAAACATCCAATAGAGCAGTATTGTTAACATAAAAATAGGAATTGCACTCACAATTGTGGAGCTTTTACTAAAGCTCATATTTTGCATGTATAAGGCGGTACTATCCAGTCCTACGGATATAACGGGTTCACAGATTCTTCGATAGCGCTTGCATATGTGGAAGAAAAGAAATAGCAAATAGTGCTCTCTGTATGTAAATACACATGAAAATAGAGGGAGATATACTTACAATTTTTAGAGCAGTAAAATTGTGTGTGAGTGGTGTAATCCCCACCGAGTACCAGAGGATAAAGTTTCATGTTGTCGTGCTTCAGGGTATGCCAGGAACAGATAAAAGGTTAAAAAAAAAATTAAAACATGTTTTTAAAAAAATTTAAGCTAACTGGTCCAAATTATTAATAAACTACAGTAGTTTATTAAAAACAGTTTAAAAACAGAGTAATAGAGGTTATATCAAGTGGACAGATTGGTACCTGGAATAAGGTTATTTATAGAAACCCACAAACTGAAAGTTGGCGTCTTAATGACATCCTGGTCACTTGATCGCAATTTTGATTACATGACAATGCGTGAGAAAACATATATGTACATAATAAAATCTTAAAAATGGATGCAGTGTGGGTGGAGTAGCCAGAGTGAATTTATATAGTTGAGAAAACACATAACAGACAGGTAATACCGCACTAACAAAGACCATGGTCATCTGACGTGGATCGGAGTTGAGCGTCACATGATTGGGAACGATCATGGTTAAAGGCAGAATTTGGACCTAATTGTGTCCGAATTAGTAGCGAAATTCATTCACTATGAGCCATCCAGAGAGGAAGCATAAGTCAAGTGACTTTCCGCTGCGGCCATATTTGAAATGGAACCTGAAGGGAAACACTGTAACAATAGTGGACAAACATGGAAACACGTGATCCATAAATATATTATTTGAAAAAATAAATATATGAGAAAAAAAGTCAGTGTGTGCCTGATATATCTAAAAATAGAACCTATAAAAAGGTTCATATATGAAGAATAAAAAAAGGATAAAATAAGAATATGGAGAAAAAAAGTGATATGAAATAAATGTAAATATATTATCTTAGAGAAAATCAAAAAGGTTGAATAATTCAGGTGTCCTTGTAGACTCCAATATATAGGTCTGACATCTAGATGTTTGAAGACTTGCATAGCCGAACATTGTAGAAATAGGTTTTCTGAACCACTGCTTACCCAAACATTTCATTAAGCACAATAATGATCCAAAACTACTAAAAGTTATTGGCATCCAAAAATGTAAAAACCGTGAGAAAAAATACTTTGGAGAAATGAGGTGAAGTGGGTTTTTAACTTAAAAAAAATTTGAACCTGAAAGATTGAATGCTAAATTCAATAAATATTGACATATATTCACGTTTATTTTTCTCCATATTTGTATTTGTCCTTTTTTTTTATTCTTCACACATGAGCCTTTTTATATATTTTATAAACTATATTTTATATACTCTATTTTTAGATATACCAGGCACATATTTTTTTCTCACATATTTATTGATTATTTTTTTTAGACACTATCCTGATGTTTTTTTTAAATGATAAAACAAAATAGAATTTTCTGTATATGTTTATTTCCCCTTTTCCATAAATTTTTATTATTTACACCCTTTTCAGATTTTTTCTACTAATATTTGTATTGATCACGTGTTTTTATGTTTGTCCAATAGTATTATAGTCTTTCCCTGTTTAAAGACAGTCACAGTGGCAAGTCACTTTATTTGTGCCTCCTCTCCGGCATTTGTTTATACTCCGAGTGAATGAGTTTCGCTGCTAATTCGGACACAATTTCATTTAATTTCGGCCTTCAACCAAATTTTAGCATAATTCGGCCTTCGACCATGATCATTCCCAATCACATGACAATACTTATTGTTATTGTACTATCAACTGTCTGTATTTTCTAAACTATGTAAGTTCATCCTGGCTACTTCAGTCACATTGCATCCATTTTTAAGATTTTATGATGTACATATATGTTTTCTCACACATGGTCAAGTGATCAAAATTTAGATCACATGACCATGATCTATTTAAGACGCCAATTTTCAATTTGAACTTACCCTATACATACTCTTATGCCAGGTAACCCTCTTTCCAATTGAAAAAGCCTCTATTGTTGGTGAAACGCGTTGTGGATTTACTGTTCATTAATAATTTGGACCAGTTAGATTTTTGTTATTTTATTTTTTAACCTTCATCGGTTCCTGGCATACACCGAAGCACAACAAATTGAAACTTCATCCTCTGATACGGAGTGGGGATTGTACCATCCATGCTGTCTAAACAGAACAATTTTACAGCTCCAAAAATTGTAAGTACATCTCCATCTATTTTCATGAGTATTTACATACAGACAGCATCATTTACTGTTTCTTTTCTTCCATGAATGCAAACGCGTTGAAGAATCTGTAAACCTGTCATATCCGTAGGAGTGCATAGTACCACCTTATACCTGCAAAATTTGATTTAGTAAAAGCTCTACACTTGTGAGTGCAATTCCTATTCTTATCACTTTATGTTAACAATACTGCTTTATTGGATGTTTTCCTGCCTTTACATATCTCACTGTGACCCACGGGAGAGATCATATCTTCATCTAGATCCACTAGTGGGGAATGTACTACTACACGCTGTATGACAACTTTAGTAAATGTGAGTAGGGACTTGCGCACTTTATGTTGTATGTTATCGACTCATTGTGTTACATACAACACTATCAGTATCCCCTTGGTTTTCCACTTTTTCTACATTTGCATCTTATGAGAACGGATTCCACCACATAAGATCTGAGATCATCAGAAGCACATTGGGACAATGTATCTTATCTTTTATCCTGTTTTTTTCGTGGTCTTTATATTTTATCCTGGTTTGTCTGTTGTTTTTATATGTTAAAAATATGCCATTTCAGATATTCTTGGTGGGCTGTGGTCAATATTTTCAATCTGTGTTCTAAACTTATGGGGTGACTTTGAAAAAGATGAGGTTAGGAAGTAGTGGTGTCACATGGCACGTTTATGACAGCATTAATTTTCTAAGCCTCCGATATTGATTGGATGCTGGGATAGCGCAATGTTCTGGTAGCTGGAAATGGTTGTAAACTAATGAAAATTCCTCATATGTTATAAAATAGTAGCTATTGGTATTTCTCTTAACCCATGCTGTGTGTAACACAAAGTATCCAACGATTTGTACTTCGTCTAACATCTACTAAACAAACAGGAGACAGTGGTGTAGGAGATCCATGAATGTTTTCAGTCACTCATTCTGGGTATGAAGGCTTTGGGTTGAGAATACTGTGTCCTCCGAGGTGGTTTAGGGTCTCTTATGAACGAGGGCTGGTAATGACACTTCACCTATTCATGCTGTCAGTCATCCTAATGAGAGATTAGATGGATTAGTGATCCTTCATAGTACATTAGGGAGTATGTACCACAGGGCTTGCAATCTAATGGAAGGATTACCAGAAATAGCTGCAAAACAAACTAGAAATTCATAGTGAATATTTTAGGCCAAATTAAATGAAAACATAGTTGGCCAAAAATAGGTAATTACATTTTAGTGAATGGCTGTAAGGTCTACTTACTAAAGTCCAAAAACTAATCTGTGCCGTACGAGCTAGTCGGACTTCAAAATCTGGACATTTTGCACTACTGTTCGGAAAGAACCCGAATTTGGTGTGGACTTTAGCTAAACCAAATGCTGATGGATGGCAAATCCTCGGCCTCAGGCTTAAAATCTGGGCTACTATTTTAAAAAGCCTGACGATTTACCTTCTAGCAGCACTAGCTAGGTACATAAGAGTTATTTTATTTAAAAAGCCTATGAGGTCAATATGTCATGCCACTGGCTGCTTACTGTTTAATACACATGTGGCAGGCACGGCGGGTAGGGGTATAAGGAAAGCTTAAAGGGACACTGTAAGAAATGAAACCATTTTATATGAATGAAGTAGTTTTGGTGTATAGCTCATGCACCTGTAGTATTAATGCCAAATTCTCTGCCATTTTGGAGTAAAATGACATAGCTTACATTAAACAAATGGTTTCAATACTAATTTAACGACTAGTTGGCCATTGTCTGAATTTAATTTAATGGGATGGCGGTTGAGCACCATATCATTCCTGACATGTTAATGCAGACTGGGTGGCCTGAAGCAGAAGTCACCCATTAAAATGTGGTTTCACAGAGGTGGACTGGGTGGATAATGTTTTTATATTACTGCTGTTTTCACAAGAAATAGAAAAACATAACATTATTTAAAAGCACCTGTAAACGTTACTCATTCCAGGTGCATTGTGGGAAATATAATTTGCGCGTCTGGATATACATGCTTTTGTATTGGGGATTAAGCTATCAGGGGAAGGCACGCACTCTGTCCAGGTGCATTGTGGGAAATATAATTTGGGCGTCTGGGTATACATGCTTTTTTATTGGGTATTAAGCTATCAGGGGAAGGCACGCACTCCGTGCCCCCAATTCACCTGAGCTCTGCTGGGTATCGCGCACCTGCATGCTTTCAGTCCCATAATACTGGTGTTGTTTGTGCTTTTCGGCTGCCCCTCTAACACCACTCGTGGCAGATTGTTCTGTGTGAGGAGAAAGAAAATGTTCAGACATGAGTTTGTTGAGGCCACGAAACACTCCACGAAGATTCCTTGTCTACCTTATTACATGGCCGGTCACACTGCCCCCTGCTGGCACTGTTCTCTTCTGTGGGAGTTGGACGATTGTAAGATTTAATGCGTTTTTTAAAGGTGTAATAGTACTCAATGCACTGATATACATTCTTTGAAGGAATCTGTGGAGGGTGAAAAGTAATACATTGTAATATTTTACATTGTTCAAGGAGAATGGGTCCAAACAAATTGAATATGTAAAGGTCATTAGTAGGTGCTTCTTGCAAACACAGGCTACATTAGGGGTTTTTCACAAAAAAAAGTCTGCCCAGTTTGCAATTTAGGCCACAATAAAGAATCTGGAGATTTTTTGATACTTAGCAATTAGCCTGTATTGTTCACCTTTTAGTGAATGAAGTCTCTGGTTTGCTGTACCCAGTCTTACCAATCTCTGAATAGAGGAGAAATTCTTCCCGTGAACAGAGGACGCCCTGCTAAACATTCTCCTCTCGGACACGGTCCATAGGTCACTCCCTGAATGCCGCCAAGAACAAATCATAGCGTTAGTCCGAGCACAGATTATCATTTGTCACACATTATGGCAGAAAGTAGCTGTCTCCAATGTCCGTACTGGATGTTATTTGGGCATATGGTGTATGCGGGTTAGCCAGATCAGCTGCATTTCAGCTCACTGCACCCTCAATCAAGTAGAATTATGGGCTTTAGAATGTAATTGTCACAGTAGGATACCTTAAAACGCTGAGCTTAGGATAACTACTAACTACGTAGAACAACGTATTAATGGACATTAGCGTGGCTGACATATCATTTTAAAATTCACTCCTAGGTCAGGATAATGTAAAAACAGAATAACCGAATACCTATCCGTGATCAGGAAAACAGAATAACAGAAAAACATAGAAACTAGTCAGATAATGGTTACTGAAACACTGAAAGTCAGAAAACATAGACAGGAGCAAGGAACCCACTAAACAGGTACTATGAAAAGAAACCATGATAGGGCACAGTTACTGGGAACAAAGAACTTTATATAATGTTAGGTGTGATTTGATTGGTTCACGTCACACCTGGGACCCCAGAACGTGCGTGGATGGGGACGCTGGAGCGAAGAGGACTACATCCAACCGGAAGTGATGCAGCGCCTTAACTGCGAATTTAAGAACATGCTCCGAATGCGAGCAGCGCTCAAGTTACTAAAATTTAGGCTGCGCCAAAGTTCTGCAAGGGAATATCGGATCACCACGCCAACTTTGTAAGTAGCACCACAATAATAACTGAAGAGACATTGTCTTGCACAAAACATATAGTTCATGTTCACGGTTCGGTGCGAGGGGTAACACAACACTGATCAGTCACAACATTAAAACCACCTGCCTAATATCATGTAGGTCCCCTTTGGAATTCTCTGCCTGAAGAAGTGGTTTTATCAGAGTCCATACAGATGTTCAAACAGCTACTAGATGCATACTTGCAAAAACAGAATATTCATGGATATAATCTTGTAGGGTAATAACTGCTTGATCCAAGGATAAATCTGACTGCAATTCTGGGGTCAAGAAGGAATTTTTTTCCTAGCTTGTTGCAAAATTGGAAGTGCTTCAAACTGGGTTTTTTGCCTTCTTTTGGATCAACAGCAAAAAACAAATGTGCGGAAGGCTGAACTTGATGGACGCAAGTCTCTTTTCAGCTATGTAACTATGTAATTATGATGTGTCAAGGCATCAACTCCACATTTTATGCGTCCTGAACGCATGTCTTTGAACATGTCCTGTGGTATTTGGCACCAAGACATTAGCAGAAGATCCTTTTTTTTATTGCTGCAAGTTGCGAGGTGGGGCCTCCATGGATCAGATTTGTTGTTTCCACACATCCCACAGATGATCAATCAGATTCAGATCTCGGGAATTTGGCAAAAACTTGTACTTTTTGTCAAGATGTTGCCTTGGCCTCTTTGTTCTTCAAACTATTGCTGAATAATTTTTGCAGTGTGGCAGGGTGCATTCTCCTACTGAGAGAGGCCACTGCCATCAGGGAACACTATTGCCATGAATGGGTGTACGTGGTCTGTAACAATCTGTAGGTAAGTGGTACATGTCGAAGTAAGTGATCAGACCAGACGGGCTAGTCTTCGCTCCCCACTTGCATCAATGAGCCTTGTGTGCCCATGATCTTGACGCTTGTTCACCTGTTGTCCTTCCGTATACCACTTTAGGTAGGTACTAACCATTGCATACCAGGCACACCCCACAGGGCTTGCCGTTTTGGAGATGCTCTGACCCAGTTGTCTAGCTTTCACAATGTGACCCTTGTCAAAGTCACTCAGATCTTTTCGCATCCACACTTTTCCTGCTTCCAACACATGAAATTCAAGAACTGACTGTTCACTTGCTGCAATAGATCTCACCCCTTGACAGGGTCAATGTTATTTACCTGCCAGTGGGTTTGGATTCATATCTCAATTAGAACCTTTGGAAAAGTCCACCTTGGGCACAAAGAATCAGAGGAAACGTGTCCACCACTATCCCAGAATTCCCAGCATGATATGCAAATGAGCACAGACAGGCATTGTATTTCAGACTTCATCCTACATTTCTGGACACCCTTAGCAATAGAATGCTGTTTTTAACACAGGTTTAAAACTAAAAATAGGCTGTGATTCAAGGGGACCAATAACCACAAACCTAAGGACTAGAGATCTGGTCAGCATGATTTGGTTTCCGATCTAGAAGTCTTATTTCCAGCTTCAGTGTTCTGCATAAACATTATTAGAATAACAGCTCTGTGATATAGGAGTGCCCTCTAGAGAAAGAAATGTAGCATTACTGCACTGCCCTCTATAAATGACAGAGGATTAGCAATGCTGCCTTAATACCATGCTGTGTGCAACAAATAGTTCTCCTTTCTACGCTCACATTTTACTTTTTGAAGTTACGCCAGACATTAATGCCAGAAAGTGCAATCTGCTAGTAACAAAACTATACTGTGCAAAAAAAATTAAAACAATGCATTGCTCATTAACCTGCTTACCGGCATAGTGATAATCTGCAAGGGAATGGGGCAATAGCTCCTGGGGATCAGATATAAAGAGCATCTCCAGAGCATCCTACAGAACAAAATACATTATTATAGTTTAATAGAAGAAGTTATAGGGAGGTTATATGGAGTTATAGGAGGAGTTATAGGGAGAGTTTATATGGAGTAATAGAAGAAGTTATAGGGAGGTTATATATAGTTATATGAGTAGTTAGAGGGGGAGTTTATATGGAGTTATAGGAGGAGTTATAGGGAGAGTTTATATGGAGTAATAGGAGGAGTTATATGGAGGTTATATGGAGTAATAGGAGGAGTTATGTGGAGGTTATATGGAGTAATAGGAGGAGTTATAGGGAGGGTTATATGGAGTAATAGGAGGAGTTATATGGAGGGTTATATGGAGTAATAGGAGGAGTTATAGGGAGAGTTTATATGGAGTAACAGGATGAGTTATATGGAGGTTATACGGAGTAATAGGAGGAGTTATGGGAGGGTTATATGGAGTAATAGGAGGAGTTACATGGAGAGTTTATATGGAGTAACAGGAGGCGTTATATGGAGGTTATACAGAGTAATAGGAGGAGTTACAAGCTAGAATAAGCTAGTATTGATATTAAGGCTTAGTTCAGCCTGTTCCATTTACCATGATGTTACCGTTAGCAGCGTGAAGGCAGTGCAGAGCGAGCTCCAGGTTAGTGCCCCCTCCTGGTAGAGCACTGGAACAGGCAAGGTTTAAAAGGTGTGATACTACAAAAAAACAAAACAGTTTATTATCATGGTTCAGATACCTTCATCCTTTAAATGTTACTCATTTACTGGTACATTCATTCAGTATGTCAGTATGTGAGGGGTCTGTCAGAGGTGTCACTTGTTACTGACAATCTTTCTAGATGACTCTAGTAACTCTTGACTCTGGATTTATCTGGGGTGCCATTCAGGGGATTGGATTTATCTGGGGTGCCATTCAGGCGATTGGATTTATCTGGGGTGCCATTCGGGTGATTGGATTTATCTGGGGTGCCATTCAGGCGATTGGATTTATCTGGGGTGCCATTCGGGTGATTGGATTTATCTGGGGTGCCATTCAGGCGATTGGATTTATCTGGGGTGCCATTCAGGCGATTGGATTTATCTGGGGTGCCATTCAAGGATTGGATTTATCTGGGGTGCCATTCAGGCGATTGGATTTATCTGGGGTGCCATTCAGGATTCAGGCGATTTTATCTGGGGTGCCATTCAGGCGATTGGATTTATCTGGGGTGCCATTCAGGCGATTGGATTTATCTGGGGTGCCATTCAGGCGACTGGATTTATCTGGGGTGCCATTCAGGTGATTGGATTTATCTGGGGTGCCATTCAGGCGATTGGATTTATCTGGGGTGCCATTCAGGGGATTGGATTTATCTGGGGTGCCATTCAGGCGATTGGATTTATCTGGGGTGCCATTCAGGGGATTGGATTTATCTGGGGTGCCATTCAGGTGATTGGATTTATCTGGGGTGCCATTCAGGCGACTGGATTTATCTGGGGTGCCATTCAGGCGATTGGATTTATCTGGGGTGCCATTCAGGCGACTGGATTTATCTGGGGTGCCATTCAGGCGATTGGATTTATCTGGGGTGCCATTCAGGCGACTGGATTTATCTGGGGTGCCATTCAGGCGACTGGATTTATCTGGGGTGCCATTCAGGCGATTGGATTTTTTCGTGGGGAATCACTTTGGGGGAGTCACTCAGGATTGTGGATTGTTTTGGATTTGGGTTTAGTCTAAAAAGTGTATCTTTCTGGAGGGGTCATCATTCTGGGCTGTGGATCTCTCTGGAGTGTGAGTGTTTCTGGAGGGGGCTTCATGCCGGGCTGTGGATCTCTCTGGAGTGCAGATATTTGCAGGGGAGAAATGCTCTGGGGGTGAATATCGTATGTCTGGCGTCTTAGTTCACCATCACTGCTATCAGTACAACAGGAGCACAACAGATATATAAGCTGTTTATATACATTGTATTTACACCTTAGTTCCCTTTTACACTTTGTCGCAGCTGTGTGGGTAGACCTGTGTGAGCACAAATCACTTCACAGCGGAGAGGTTTTTCCAAATCCCCAATATTGTACTCCTGCAAATTCCTACATACAGTATCAAACCATGGAAGCCGTTTCCTACCAGTCTCCAGGTCAGAGCAGGGTCTCCACACCAAAGAAGCCTTCTCCTCCTCTCTCGCTGCTAGCGAAAAGTGCCGTAACTCCGGAATCTCTGCCTGGAACCGATTGCCAACGTTAATGTGCCTGTGTGTGGGTAGGGGGAGTGGATGATAAGCGTCAAAGCTTTTCATTCCTGTATCTTCTGTGCATAAATCTGTTCAACTTACGGCTTGATAGTAAATACTGTGTCATCTTCCACGTGGCAAAGATCACAAGATGCTCCGTCTGTGTGTAAAAGAGAAACATACCTGGTACCATTTTACAGACAAGTGCCCATCACTGACAGTGGAGGTAAACAGACAACTTAACATATATATTCACTAACGCACAACTCAAACTGTAGGCTAAAATAGTCAAGATGGAAAAAATCCCCAAGTCTACGTTACGTGTTTTACATTTTTTTTTTTCAATTTCCGACATTTCAACTCTGACTGTATTCTTTTTAAAATAATCTAAAGCTATACTGTTTTTACAATATTTAACTTTTCTCTTAAAGGGGCAGGCTAAGCACCATAACCACCATAGCTCATTGTAGTAGCTTATGTCTGATATCCCTCCATATTTTGTCAAACTATTTTTCAGAGGTTTGTGTAAATCAAGGGTTTTTGACACCGAAATTCCTTCCCCTTAACCGTCACTCAGATAACTGCAATGTCAGGCTGCAGTTTGTCGCAGCTAAGGGAATCAACACATTTAATTCCAATCTTATCTTTCTAGAGATCCGCTCACGTCTCGCACATTGCTAAATGGTGTTTAGATTATGGTATGTTCTCCCCATAACGGTGTTCTGTCAAATAATAATATCACAGCAGCATTTCTGATTATTCCACATTCACCTGCAATGTTTGGGCCCAAGGCAGTGGATGCGGGTGTAGGAGGACACAAAGTGTTGAAGTATAACCCAGTGCTCTGGCGTACGGGGCTCAGCATCGGGGGTGGTGTGTACGGTGGGTAACAGCAGAGGCCATTGTGAAGGTGTTCAGAGAGATACGTTTTTGGGGATCGCAGGTTGCTTTGGAAGCTGCCCGATAAAGTGGGGTGTACCTCTGGGAGTGCTGGAGGAATGATTAATGATTTGGGGCCTGGTCTCATTTTCCGCTCCTTTTTTGAGCAAGTGACTTCAGAGTGAATATCACTAACAGTTTCCTGCATTATGATACAAGAGTCAGAAAGTAAAGTGATTAATCAAAGGAGTTTAAAGAAAATCATCAATGGGTAATTCATTTAGAGTGACAATAAAAATCTATGTTAAGGTCATTGGTGATTCTCAGTAAAATTGGGCACAAATGTTTTTCAGCAGGTTGGAACGAATCAAATTCCATTTTTATCGATGCTCAAATGAACCGATTCGATGGGGCAGTTTGTTCAGAAATTGAGTAAAAGGCATTTGATTTGTTCCAACCGGCTGAAACACTTTGTGCACAAGTCTAATTCTCAGTAATCACACAAGTTCAGAATATGCAAAATAATAACCAGATCTAACATTCATCCCTGTGACAGGCACTGTGTACGTTAGACACAGTGCTCTATCCTAAGAAACAATACAGACTTTTTGGTATGAAGAGAGAACTAAAGCCAGATATAATCTCTACCCCAATCAATGGTTTTCGATGGGGTTTGGAAAAGAAGCACAAAGCTACTTACTTTCATCACAAGAGCAGCAATCAAAGCACATATTTTTCAGATGTTAGAACCAAAACAACAGCAATAAAGGTTTATATTGATGACAAATTTTATAAACATTGATCCGTTCTGTTTACCTGGATTTTATTCTGTTCATTTCCCGGTATAACAGGAACTGATACCGGAATCACGAGCACCCCAGCACCATCCTTAAAACTTGTCTCTGATACGCACTGAGCCGCTGTATCTGCTGGTAATTTGGGCATGTTAAGGGAGATCTCTGCTTCACTTAGTTTGATATTCTGTAAATAATCAGATGAAATATCACTTCCATACCTTAATGACTTCATGTATACAGTAACACACACCATGTATACAGAGAGGAACCGGTATTGTCAGTAACACACACCATGTACACAGAGAGGAACCGGTACTGTCAGTAACACACACCATGTACACAGAGAGGAACCAGTATTGTCAGTAACACATACCATGTATACAAACAGGAACCGGTACTATCAGTAACACACCATGTAGAGGAACCGGTATTGTCAGTAACACACACTATGTATACAAACAGGAACCGTTACTATCAGTAACACACCATCTAGAGGAACCGGTATTGTCAGTAACACACCATGTACACAGAGAGGAACCGGTACTGTCAGTGACACACACCATGTACACAGAGAGGAACCAGTATTGTCAGTAACACACACCATGTACACAGAAAGGAACCGGTACTGTCAGTAAAACACCATGTACACAGAGAGGAACCAGTATTGTCAGTAACACACACCATGTACATAGAGAGGAACTGGTAATGTCAGTAATACACACTATGTACACAGAGAGGAACCAGTATTGTCAGTAACACACACCATGTATACAAACAGGAACCGGTAATATAAGTAACACACCATGTAGAGGAACCGGTATTGTCAGTAACACACCATGTACACAGAGAGGAACCGGTACTGTCAGTAACACACACCATGTACACAGAGAGGAACCAGTATTGTCAGTAACACACACCATGTATACAAACAGGAACCGGTACTATCAGTAACACACCATGTAGAGGAACCGGTATTGTCAGTAACACACCATGTACACAGAGAGGAACCGGTACTGTCAGTAACACACACCATGTACACAGAGAGGAACCAGTATTGTCAGTAACACACACCATGTATACAAACAGGAACCGGTACTATCAGTAACACACCATGTAGAGGAACCGGTATTGTCAGTAACACACCATGTACACAGAGAGGAACTGGTAATGTCAGTAACACACACCATGTACACAGAGAGGAACCGGTATTGCCAGTAACACACACCATGTACACAGACAGGCACCGGTACTATCAGTAACACACCATGTTGAGGAACCGGTATTGTCAGTAACACACACCATGTACACAGAGAGGAACCGGTATTGTCAGTAACACACCATGTACACAGAGAGGAACCAGTATTGTCAGTAACACACCATGTACACAGACAGGCACCGGTACTATCAGTAACACACCATGTTGAGGAACCGGTATTGTCAGTAACACACCATGTACACAGAGAGGAACCAGTATTGTCAGTAACACACCATGTACACAGACAGGCACCGGTACTATCAGTAACACACCATGTTGAGGAACCGGTATTGTCAGTAACACACCATGTACACAGACAGGAACCGGTGCTGTCAGTAACACATACCATATACACCGAAAGTGTCATAGCTTCTGGGGATTCTGCCGGTGTGGTTGCACATAAAGTAAGCAACCACGCTGACAGAGACAAATTTTACTTACCTTGTTCGCGGCAGATCACTAGCCCGACCTCCCTCGGGTCCAGTCCCCAGCGTGTGCGACGCTCTTAGGAGCACCGACTGCTGCAGTTCAATTTTTTATAATAAACTTACCTTCGCCCACACCAAAGTTGGTGATTCGAGAGTGTGTTCCTGAGCGTTTATTTCTAGTTTGGCTTTGTTTTGACTTCCCTGAATTCTGGTATCCCTGACTTTTGGCTTTCCCTCATTGTTGTGTCTCCTTCTGTGTCCCTGACCTTGGCAAGTATTCTGACTGTTCTCCGGTACGTTAAGTCCGGCCATTCTAAGGCCTGGTTACTTTTACTTTTAGTCCTAGGTGTGATATAATTCTGCGGCAGAGCGCAATTATGACAGAATTGTTGGCCATTATACTAGCGCTTAAAGAATGGCGACATCTTTTAGAGAGTCGCAAGGATCCCCTTTTGATTATAACTGATAACCAAAATTTGGCATATATTGGAGATGCTAAATGGTCTTCTAGACAGGCAAGATGGTCTATGTTCTTATCTCGCTTTAACTTTATTATCACTTACAGACCTGGCCCCAAAAACGTTAAAGTTGACGCCTTATCAAGAGAGTTTGACACTGAAACTGAACAAGAACAAGAGATATTCCCTATTGTTCCTCCTGAGTGTATCATTGCTTCCACTGTTCTTTCCTTGTCACCCCCTCTGCTTTGTGCTATCATGGCGGCTCAATCCCGGGCACCTTGCAATAAACCTCTGGATAAATTGTTTATTCCATTGACTGAAAGAAAAGTAATGAGAGTATTTCATGACAATGTGACTGCTGGGCATCCGGGCATTAAAAAAAACATATCCGCTGTCTCTAGATCTTTTTGGTGGGATTCACTCAGGAGAGATATCAAAGACTATGTGGAGGCCTGTTCTCTGCGTGCAGTTTCTAAGGTTCCTCATAAACTTCTGTGTGGATTGTTACATCCACTTCCTGTACCTAGTGTTCCATGGTCCGACTTGTCCATGGATTTCATTGTGGAACTTCCAAGTTCTTATGATCATACCACTATCCTTATGGTGGTTGATCGTTTTTCCAAGATGGCTCATTTTATTCCACTCAAAAAATTGCCATCTTCACAAGATCTGGTTTTGATATTTATACGCGACATTGTCAGACTTCATGGTATCCCTCAAAATATTGTCTGACAGGGGTTCTCAGTTTGTGTCTCGATTTTGGAGAGCTTTTAGCAAACAGCTGGGTATTGAATTGTCATTTTCTTCCTCTTACCATCCCCAAACTAATGGTACAGCTGAAAGGGCTAACCAATCCTTGGAACTGTATTTACGTTGTTTTGTGAATAGCACTCAGGATAATTGGTCTGAATTGCTACCCTGGGCCAAGTTTGCCAGGAATAACCCATGACTCATCCGGGCATAGTCCATTTTTTGTCAATAACGGTCGTCATCCAGCCGTGTTCTCTGACACTGCTATCCCTGCTCTGGATGATCACTTTGCTTCTATTCGTGAGACTTGGATTAAAGTTCACTCCGCTCTTGAGACTGCAGCTGCTCATTTGTAATTCCATGCTGATAAACGGCGGGTGCCAGCCCTGTTTACCAGCTGGGTGAGAGGGTGTGGTTATCTTTGCGCAACATCAAACTAAAAGCACGAATTTTGCCCCCAGATTTCTTGGTCCATTTCGTGTTGTTTGAAAAATTAACCCTGTTTCTTATTCACTGGCTCTTCCAGCCTCTTTGCGTGTTTCATGTCTCCTTACTCAAACCGCTTATTTGCAATAGGTATACTGTCCCAATTGTTCCCCCTCCTCCTTTGTTTTTTTCTGGACAGGAGTACGAAGTCTCGTCTGTATTCAACACCAGGTTTTCTCGAGGGTCTCTGCAGTATTTGGTCGATTGGAATGGTTATGGGCCTGCCGATCGTTCTTGGCTTTCTGCTTCAGACATACATCCGGGCCGCAAACTCTGATCTTTCCATGCCAGGTTTCCCCCGGTGGGTGGTCTTCAAGTGGGGGGTACTGTCACGGCTTCTGCTGGTGTGGTTGCACATAAAGTAAGCAACCACTGAGAGGGTAGTGGATGCACGGAATAGCCTTCCAGCTGAAGTGGTAGAGGTTAACACAGTAAAGGAGTTTAAGCATGCCTGGGATAGGCATAAGGCTATCCTAACTATAAGATAAGACTAGGGAGTAATGAAACTATTTAGAAAATTGGGCAGACTAGATGGGCCGAATGGTTCTTATCTGCCGTCACATTCTATGTTTCTATAACCACGCCGACAGAGACAAATTTTACTTACCTTGTTCGCGGCCGATCACTGGCCGACCTCCCTCCGGTCCGGTCCCCAGCTGTTGCGACACTCTTAGGAGCGCCGACCACTGCGGTTCAAATTTTTATAATAAACTTACCTTCGCCCACACCAAAGATGGTGCCAACATGCGTGTGATATCACATCATAGAGGCGCACGCACGTTTTGGGGTCAGAGGTAGCCAATTACAGCCAAACTAGGGGGTATTTAAACCCAAATTACCTTTCTGTCAGTGCACTGTCATGGTTTGCCTTAGTTGGTTATCCGAGAGTGTGTTCCTAAGCGTTTATTTCTGTTTTTTGACTTTGGCTTTGTTTTGACTTCCCTGAATTCTGGTATCCTTGACTTTTGGCTTTCCCTCATCGTTGTGTCTCCTTCTGTGTCCCTGGCCTTGGCAAGTATTCTGAATATTCTCCGGTACGTTAAGTCCAGCAATTCTAAGGCCTGGTAAGACTCTAGGTGTGATATAGTTCTGCGTGCTGGATCTACTAGTAATCCTGACAGAAAGGAACTGTCAGTAACATACGCCACATGCACAGAGAGGATCCGGTATTGTCAGTAACACACACCACATACACAGAGAGGAACCGGTACTGTCAGTAACACACACCACATACCAAGAGAGGAGAACAGGTACTGTCAGTAACACACACCATGTACATAGAGAGTAACCAGTACTGTCAGTAGCACACCATATATACGAAGAGGAACCGGTACTGTCAGTAACACACACCATATACACAGAGGGGAACCGGTACTGTCAGTAGCACACACCATATACGCAGAGAGGAACTGGAGAGGAACGGTCAGTAGCACAAGCCACTTAATGAGGTGATATAATAAAATATACACTGGTTACGGCCGCTGGAAATAAACTTACAATATATACACTGGCTATGGTTTCTGGGAAATAATAAAATGTACACTGGAATCGGCCAATGGGAAATAAACAAATCATAAAATATATACTGGCGATGACAACTGGAAATAATACAATATACACTGGCTACCAGTGAAAACAATCAAATATACACTGGATATGGACACTGGAAATAATACAATACACACTGGCTACCAGTGAAAATAATCAAATACACACTGGCTATCACTGGAAATAATACAATAAACACTGGCTACGGCCCCTGGAAATAATACAATACACACTGACTATTACTGGAAATAATACAATACACACTGGCTACGGCCACTGGAAATAATACAATACACACTGGCTACGGCCACTGGAAATAATACAATACACACTGGCTACGGCCACTGGGAAATAATACAATACACACTGGCAACGGCCACTGGAAATAATACAATACACACTGGCTACGGCCCCTGGGAAATAATACAATACACACTGGCTACGGCCCCTGGGAAATAATACAATACACACTGGCTACGGCCCCTGGGAAATAATACAATATACACTGGCTACGGCCCCTGGGAAATAATACAATACACACTGACTATTACTGGAAATAATACAATACACACTGGCTACGGCCACTGGAAATAATACAATACACACTGGCTACGGCCACTGGAAATAATACAATACACACTGGCTACGGCCACTGGGAAATAATACAATACACACTGGCTACGGCCACTGGAAATAATACAATACACACTGGCAACGGCCACTGAAAATAATACAATACACACTGGGTACGGCCCCTGGGAAATAATACAATACACACTGGCTACGGCCCCTGGGAAATAATACAATACACACTGGCTACGGCCCCTGGGAAATAATACAATACACACTGGGCTACGGCACTGGAAATAATACAATACACACTGGCTACGGCCACCAATGGCTACGAAAATAATACAATACACACTGGCTACGGCCTGGGGGAAATAATACAATACACACTGGCTACGGCCCCTGGAAATAATACAATACACACTGGCTACGGCCCCTGGGAAATAATACAATACACACTGGCTACAGCCCCTGGGAAATAATACAATACACACTGGCTACGGCCCCTGGAAATAATACAATATACACTGGCTACGGCCCCTGGGAAATAATACAATATACACTGGCTACGGCCCCTGGGAAATAATACAATACACACTGGCTACGGCCCCTGGGAAATAATACAATACACACTGGCTACGGCCCCTGGAAATAATACAATATACACTGGCTACGGCCACTGGAAATAATACAATACACACTGGCTACGGCCCCTGGGAAATAATACAATATACACTGGCTACGGCCCCTGGGAAATAATACAATACACACTGACTATTACTGGAAATAATACAATACACACTGGCTACGGCCCCTGGGAAATAATACAATACACACTGGCTACGGCCATAAATACTATGTAGCAGTAAAATATACACTCACTGAGGAAAGTGGAAATGAATAGAACGAAATAAAGAGTTCCATGTCATTATATAAATTACCATTTATTATTTCACATGGTAAATACACATTTTGCTGTTGAATTATGGAAGGAGCTGTGTATGAATAGAGGAACTGGGAATAATCTGTATTACAGAGAGCACTGTATTGGGTTTCTCCTCTATCCAGAAGACACTAAGGACAGAGGAAACCCCTAATGTACCGGTATTGCAAGCTTTCTGGAGAGTTAATTACCCCTTTTATTCTTTCTTGAAAGACTTTTACATTTTGCAAACACTTGCAAGGAGGAGTTAATGGGATATGTAGTTTAGCATACACCGGCAATTTAATTCAATATATGGTATAAATGAACATGCTACATGAACACAGTACTTATGTTTTTTTCAGTGTATATTATAAAAACATCTGACCGCACATACCTGTATGCTGCTGGCACTGGTAACTTTACTCCCCCTTTTAGACAGTGAAGGGAATCGGCGTGAAACAGGGAATGATGCCAGTGCTACTTGACTTGGCGAAGCTGCACTGACTACATCAAAGTCTACCCTAACCTTGTTTGAGGACACTTGGGCTTGCCACCCAGGTTCTAGCTGCTGGTGACGTTTACTGTCTGTTGACCCCAGAGACCTCCCAGTACTTCTCTTGGTGTGATTTGCATAGCCCCCAGGGCCATGATCACCAGCAATGCCTTTGGGGAAAGAGAAGAAGTTGGGGCTATTTCCCTGTCTTGGATCTCGGGGAGAGGCACTTTCTAAATCCTTTATGGGCATGGAGTCTGTCTGGGTTTTCCCCAACAAATGAATTCCAGGATTCTGGGAAGATACTGGCCCAGGTTCTAGCAGTCTCTGAAAATGTTGAAGAACAGACATGTTGGGTATATTTTGGCTCACATGCTGCTGCAGAGTACCAGTAACCAACTGTAACACGCGTTGAGGGTATTGTCTCTGATCTTGGACATTTAGGCTCCCATAAGGGTGAATACTGAATTCAGTTAAAAACTCATTAGCCTGAAATGTCTTGTTATCGCTCTGTGACAGACAGTATGATGCAGCATCAGAATACTCCCATCCTGAGGTGTTTCCAAAAGGTTTTGAAGGGGGACAGAAATATATTGGGGCAATAGCATTCAAACGGATCGCTAGTGACTGCCTAGCTGAAGCGTCTTCCCTTGGTTCCCCCATGTGGCCAGTTTCTGTACTCCTCACCAGTAAGGACTCTGTTGACTGAGTTTTGTAATGCTGGGTATTAAGGCAGCTGGCTAATGTTTCGTTTGGCCTATTGTCAAGCCACATGGGGTCTGCCGTGGAGGGTAAAACAATATTTGTTGGTGTGGTATCCTTGTCTGTGCCAGTTAAAGTGAATATGCTGGTTGATGGGACATTTTCTGGCATGGACAATGTCCTATGTTGGGCAACATTCTCATTTAAAGTGCTGATATTGGGCACATGGCTGGGTGCCTGGCCATCCAATAACCCTGTGCTGTATTGTCTTTTCTTCTGTGTTGTGTTTGTCACCATAAATCTGAAATGGTCTTTAGCAGGAATGGGGAGTTTAAGGAGGCCAGGAGACTCCATCTTACGCTGTGAGGACAAAGTAGTGGACACACTGACGCCTTGCTTCTTGGGTCCTGTGGAACCAACTTTGCTTTTGGCCTTCTTGAACACACAAATTTCACTATGTCTCTTCAAGGACCGCACGTCGCAGTAGCCCTTCTTACACCCATGCTCTGGACACTTAAATGGCTTATTCGGCAGGTGAGTTAGCATGTGTCCCATCCTGGAGACAGAGACAGGAGTTAACATCATCAAAGACCTTACTACAATAATAACAGAAACTCGCCGTTTCTGACCAGGACTGTAAATGACTATCCAATCCATGCCACCCTCACAATCTCTGCCTGCTGCCACATGCCCCAGCTAATATATAGGGTGAATATGGCTAGATTCATACAGTAGCAAAGACTCTTATTGTTTTCAACGAACCTGGGTTCACAAAACAAAAAAACAGACTTTTTTCAAATGTAAAAGGTTATTGGAGATTTGCTTCACCTGGGCTGGGATGTGGGGAGCCGTCTATAGCACCTTGGTGGGAGATAACCCCAAGTACAAAGGGGAAACCAACTTGCTGAATCCCTCTCACTAAGCTAGTTACAGTGTGTGAGTGCACTGTGGTGTTTAGCCTATGGAGAGTATACCTCCACACCCTGCCTTCCAACACAACTGTGATACGTACAGGTGGTCTTGCCGTTTGAAGGCCTTTCTGCAGACCCTGCACACGTGGCTCCTTTTCTGGCTGTGAGTGACATAATGTTTGTTAAGGGAAGCTGTGCTATGAAAACACTTTCCACAAATGCCACACTCTGTTCCTGGGATCTGAGGACTCTTTCTCTTATGATAAGCATCATCTCTGGACTTGGTCACTGGCTTGTCCTCTCTTGGAGAAAAAATACCTAATTCTAAAAAACAACAATAGATTAAACCAGAGAATCTTACCAACACAGTGTTATAAATGTCAATTCTAGCTCACTGAATGCACCGTAGCATGGGACAGACTCTGTGTCCCATACCTCCCTTCTGTCTGTGTCACCCTGCAGTGGGAGGGAAAGACTCCGTGTCCCATAGCTTCCTTCTGTCTGTGTCACCCTGCAGTGGGAGGGACAGACTCCGTGTCCCATAGCTTCCTTTTGTATGTGTCACCATGCAGTGGGAGGGACAGACTCTGTGTCCCATATCTCCTTCTGTCTGTGTCACCCTGCAGTGGGAGGGACAGACTCTGTGTCCCATATCTCCTTCTGTCTGTGTCACCCTGCAGTGGGAGGGACAGACTCTGTGTCCTATAGCTCCTTCTGTCTGTGTCACCCTGCAGTGGGAGGGAAAGAATTTGTATCCCATAGCTCCTTCTGTCTGTGTCCCCCTGCAGTGGGAGGGACAGACTCTGTGTCCCATATCTCCTTCTGTCTGTGTCACCCTGCAATGGGAAGGACAGACTCCGTGTCCCATAGCTCCTTCTGTCTGTGTCACCCTGCAGTGGGAGGGACAGACTCCGTGTCCCATAGCTCCTTCTGTCTGTGTCACCCTGCAGTGGGAGGGACAGATTTCCGTGTCCCATAGTTCCTTCTGTATGTGTCACCCTGTAGTGGGAGGGACACACTCTGTGTCCCATAGCTCCTTCTATCTGTGTCACCCTGCAGTGGGAGGGATAGACTCCGTGTCCCATAGCTCCTTCTGTCTGTGTCACCCTGCAGTGAGAGGGACAGACTCTGTGTCCCATAGCTCCTTCTATCTGTGTCACCCTGCAGTGGGAGGGACAGACTCCGTATCCCATAGCTCCTTCTGTCTGTGTCACCATGCAGTGGGAGGGACAGACTCTGTGTCCCATAGCTCCTTCTGTCTGTGTCACCCTGCAGTGGGAGGGACAGACTCCGTGTCCCATAGCTCCTTCTGTCTGTGTCACCCTGCAGTGGGAGGGACAGATTCCCCGTCCCATAGGTCCCTTCTGTTTATGTCACCCTGCAGTGGGAGAGACAGATTCCCCGTCCCATAGGTCCCTTCTGCAGTGCAATACAATTTCACTGTAACCCACTCACCAAATAAAGATGGAAGCGTTTCAGAATCAGATGAATCTTCAAGGACATTACAAGACAGGGATAACCCTGCTAAATCGTCCTGTAGGGGATTATCAGTGGATGTCAAGGTAATATTAGCAGGTCTCAGTTCTGGGTATTCAGGGTAGACAAGGTTCTGGCAGAAGCCAGGAAGGGGTTCACCATCATTTAGGTTATGAAAACTCATTTCATTAACAGCCGAAAACAATTTAAATTTTAAGATATTTCCAAGAGCTTCAACCCACGTGCGGTCATCAGTTTGCCAAAACCAAATTCCTGTGTAATAAAACACAACAGTTGTTATTAAACATGCCGGCAGCAAGTTATGGAGCAACAGGTTTAAAAAGCTGCATTGAGTAGGACAAGTCTATATTTCGGACTTTTGTGCAGTTTTGACACTCAGGCCTCAATTTTTAAAGCTGGTTAATGTCCCCCATATCTCACTGTTTAGTAAATAATACCCTAAAATACACAATAGAGCCTAATACAACCTCTAATCAATGAATGACAAACTGCACATTTTAACTCAAACAGCAATACTGAAGCATAAATTAATATAAAACCACAGATGGGATTCACTAAGAGGTTTTGAGCCTGTACTCCGACCAAGTACCTTCCGTTAATGGGCGCTTCCTAGCTTGTGCCGAGGACGACAAGCACCGCACCGGACACCACAACCATGGCAGACTCCACAACCGCCATAGCTTAACTGGAGTCTCGCCGTCTTCCTTCCACCCTGGATCAGCCTCTGTCCTCCACTAGCGTGTGGGAAAGACCTCTCCTCCAGGAGAGCTTATCAGGAACAGCTCTTAAAAGAGCTAAGTGATTAAAACTCAGGAACAGAATGCACTGAGGCTTTATTGCTTCTTTTATACACATTTCTCCACAAGGTTACCACCCACGTGGACCTTTTGGAACAGCCAATCATATACAGACATACAGTTAAACACTCCCATTCATTACAGCAAAATCCTCCCCTCTGTCTGTGATATAATTACTAAACACAGGAAAATATAGTTTTTACACATTTCTTATAACTTTAAAATTACACATCGTATTCATATAAAACTTACATTTTTAGAAACAGCATAACTAGGGAACAAACATATCCGTTCGGGAGTTAGCTGGTAGTCTCTTTTGACCGACCACACGCACATTTTCATGCCCAAAACAGTTCCAGAGATTTGAGCTGTGCGGCTGGTCTATTCATTACCATTCAAATGCCGTTCGAAGGCACGAACGGTGGCCGTTCGTGCAAATAGGTAATATTACTGTGGCGTTCGAATGGTCGAACACCGTTCGACTACATTCGAAATGGAATAGTTCCAGGGAAGGTAAAACTTCAGCGGTGTTCGTGCCGGCGAGTAGATGATTTTAATTCCATGAGCTTGACAGCAAAACAACGCTGACCGTGTTCGGCTGATTTAAAATGGCCACCGCCACGTGTTTGTTTTTCGAATGGTGGCCACTTCGACTACTTCGGCTGCATCTGAAGTACCATAACAAAAGTGCAGAACCCTTCCCAGAGTGTTTAAAGGGGTACACGTAGTCCAATAAAATCCAATATGCCCAAATAATGTTTTTAAAGTGCACAATCTCCGAGGGGCCATAGTCACAGGGCAGGAGGCTGGCCAGGCACCTGACCTTCTCTCGGTTAGTGCCTAAGTTAGTCGATCCAATCACCCACAATAAGCAAGTACCAGAGTAGCCCACCCACAAGAAACAGGTACAAGAGCAGCCTACCCACAACAAACAGTTACTGCATCTGGGTATTCCTCTGATATCACTTAACTCCTCCTACTGGTATCCCTGCGAGGGTAGTTGGGGGATCTGGACAGGCTGTCCAGCATCCCTGTAGTTCGGGTACAGAGACCACGGTCCCATCTGCACCATCTGGGAAAATAAGGTCTCCCCTTTGTAAGGTAAGCTGCCGCTGGGGAGAGAGGGCGACATGCTCCTCTCCCTGAAGCACATGCTGCCGCTGGAGAGGGAGACCGACTGTCTCCACTCCCATAATATTGTCCTGCTGCTGGGGAGAGAGAGCGACTGTCTCCGCTGGGGAGGGAGACCGATTGGGGGAAAGGACGACACCTTCTTCCTTCCACCCTGGATCAACCTTTGTCGTCCAGGACAGTGTGGGAAAGACCTCTCCTTCAGGAGAGCGTATCAGGAACAGCTCTTCAAAGAGCTAAGCGATTAGAGCTCAGGGGAGTTTACAAACAGAGACAGAGAGAGCGACTGTCTCTGCTCCCTGTAGGACACACTGCTGCTGGAGGAAAGGACGACACCTTCGGCCCTCCTGGGATGCATACTGCTGCTGGGGAAGGAGATCGCTTGTCTCCACTCCCAACACAATACTCTGCCGCTTGGGAGGGAGACCGATTGTCTCCGATCCCTGTAGAGGACACTGCCGATGGGGAGAGAGGCCGGCTGCCTCCTCTCCCTGCAGGATACACTGCTGCTGGGGAGAGAGACCGGTTGTCTCCTCTCCCTGAAACTCACCCTGCCGCTGGGGAGTGAGACCGATTGTCTCCAGTCCCTGTAGGGAACACTGCCGCTGGAAAGAGAGGCCGGCTGCCTTCTTCCCCGGCAGCTTACACTGCTGCTGGGGAGAGAGACCGGTTGTCTCCTCTCCCTGGAGGGAACACTGCGGCTGGGGAGAGAGGCTGGCAGCCTCCTCTCCCTGCAGAACACACTGTTGCTGGGGAGAGAGACCGGTTGTCTCCTCTCCCTGGAACTCACGCTGTCGCTGGGGAGTGAGACCGATTGTCTCCTCTCCCTGTAGGGAACACTGCTGCTGGGGAGAGAGACCGGTTGTCTCCTCTCCCAGAAGGACAGGCTGTTGCTGGGGCGCAGGGACAGAATACTTCGCCATCTCTACCCGCCATTCTGCTTCCTTCTGAAGATCCTCGGCCAGTTCTCTCCTCATGGTCTGTACCCGTTTCTCTGTTGGGTTGGACCCGTAGAACGCCAACCGCCTCTTCAGTGCAGCGTCAAACCATACTTGACTGTACCAATACTCCATGCTTGCTTGGTGTTCCCAGGATGCTGCTCCTCGCACTAGGAAAGTCATCCCACTGCAGCCACCACTGTAACAGATCACCTGGCACCCCGACTGGGCACCTCCGTTGACAGACGCTTCCTTGCTGACGCTGAGGACCATAAGCACCCCACCAGACACCACAACCACCACAGACTCCACAACCGCCGTAGCTTAACTGAGGTCTCGCCGTCTTCCTTCCACCCTGGATCAACCTCTGTCATCCAGGACAGTGTGGGAAAGACCTCTCCTTCAGGAGAGCATATCAGGAACAGCTCTTAAAAGAGCTAAGCGATTAGAGCTCACGGGAGTTTACAAAAGCATAGAAATCCCCAGTGTGAATATAGCAGTTACCTACAATAACAAGACGGTTTATTGTCTCTTTTATACAAGTTTTCCCACAAGGTTACCACCCATGTGGACCTTGTGGTACACAGGACACAAAGTTACAAAGCCAATCAAAACACTCTTGTACAGTTAGGCACTACCAGATAATGTACACAAACCCTCCCCTCTGCCTGTGATACAATTAACAAACACAATGGACTAACTCATTACCCGTCAGGCTTTTTGCTGTAAACACTGTCTTTTCAGAGAATAACTTCACTGGCCACTATTCAGATAGCTGTTAGAAATCCTTCCTGGGTCATGGCTGCCTAAAATGCATCCAAACACTCAGTATCTCCTCCCTCTGCATGCAGACACTGAACTTTCCTCATAGATGTATTGATTCAATTCATCTCTATGAGGAGATGCTGATTGGCCAGGGCTGTGTTTGAATCATGCTTGCTCTGTCCTGATCTGCCTCCTTGTCAGTCTCAGCCAATCCTATTGGGAAGCATTGTGATTGGATCAGGCTTCCACTTCTGCTGATGTCAGCAGGCAGGTCTAAAGGAAACAGGGACAAAGCCAGCAGCTCCAGACTTGAATACAAGTAGGATTTTACTATATTTAGAAAAGCATGAGGGGACCAGGACGGCTAGATGGTGGTTTTAACCCTATAGGGTCAGGAATACATGTTTGTGTTCCTGACCCTATAAAGCTCCTTTAAGGACCAGGGCTCTTTTTTACATTTCTGCGATGTTTAAGTTTAGCTGTAATTTTCCTCTTACTCATTTACTGTACCTACACATATTATATACCGTTTTTCTCGCCATTAAATGGTTTGCTGGGCCTATGTTGCCTTTGAGACCGTATAGCAGCCCAGGAATGAAAATTAACCCCATCATGGCATATTATTTGTAAAAGTAGACAACCACGGTATTCAAAATGGGGTATGACTAGTCTTTTTTAGTAGCCACTTAGTCACAAACCCTGGCCAAAATTATCATTTATATATTTTTGGGGGGCATTTTTCACACATAAACTGCCATTTCACCGATATTATCAGTATAATACATCTTACTGCTCTAAAACACTCATATTTGTGTAGAGTAATGTCTCATGAGTATAACAGTACCCCTCAAGTACAGGTTTTATGGTGATTTGGAAAAGATTTGCCAATTTCTGTTTTTGTGAATTGCTATTTGCCAGATTGGCTATGTTGCCTTTGAGACGGTATGGCAACCCAGAAATGAAAAGTAACCCCTCCATGACATACCATTTGAAAAAGTAGACAACCCAGGGTATTCAAAATGGGGTATATCCAGTCTTTTGTAGTAGCCACAAACGCTTGCCAAAGTTAGTGTTCATATTTGTTTTTTGCATTTTTTTTTTTTACACAAAAACTGCACTTTTACTGGTGATGTCATCGTTGTGATAAGTTTTACTGTTTTAAACACTCATATTTGTGTTGAGCGAAGTCTCCCGAGTATAACAATATCCCCCAGGTACAGCTTTTATGGTGTTTTGGAAAGTTACAGGGTCAATATAGGACTTGCCCAATTCAGTTTGCCATACTGGTTTGCTGGGTCTGTGTTGCCTTTTGAGACCATATGGTAGCCCAGGAATGTGAAATAACCCCATCATGGCATTCTATTTGCAAAAGTTGACAACCCAGGGTATTCAAAATGGGGTATTTCCAGTCTTTTGTAGTAGCCACTTAGTCACAAACACTGGCCAAAGTTAGCGTTTTTATTTGTTTATAAAAAAAATAATAATTTCAATGTACGATCTCAGATACAGTACATAAACAAGCGGACCATTACATACTTTACTTACCCTTTACTAAAACAAGTCAACATACCCTACCAGTAGTGATGTCCCGAACGGTTCGCCGCGGACGGGGAACATAAACATAAACTTTGACCCTGTACCTCACAGTCAGCAGACACATTCCAGCCAATCAGCAGCAGACCCTCCCTCCCAGACCCTCCCACCTCCTGGACAGCATCCATTTTACATTCATTGTGAAGCTGCATTCTTAGTGAGCTGTCCAGGAGGTGGGAGGGTCTGTGAGAGAGGGTCTGCTGCTGATTGGCTGGAATGTGTCTGCTGACTGTGAGGTACAGGGTCAAAGTTTATGCTTATGTTCGCCATCCGCGGCGAACCGTTCGGGACATCACTACCTACCAGTATAAATTACATACTACTCTACGCACAACAAATGGTGCTCAGTAGCGGAATTAGACTCACATTCCCTGTGATCGCCCATCGCAATCTCTGTTTTCACTACACGGATCTGTTCTTACGACCCTGAAATTCATACTATATATCAGATCCTTAATTATATGACTAGGACTAAACCCCTCCAACGATTCAGGTCACTCCTTCAGAACAGGGGCAGTTTACACGGCTTCAAATGTAAATATACAAGTACACATTATTAAGACCCTAGGGCGTGCAAAATCCTCTGTATATTCTCGGTACATTCCCGAAAGCAGTTCAAGAAATACACAATGCCTTTAAAGAAATGTCTGGATAAGATATATGTATATTGTTGAATGTATTAAATTGCATGAATCTACATTTTTGCCCTCTTTTATTTAGAGGCCCTTCTGCATCGTCGGTTGCGGCACACCACAATCAACTTGCTCTCTTATTCTAAACTACTCCTATACTTATCTCTTACTCTATATACAGCTTTTGCCCCTAACACAAGTATTAATGTCATTTGGCCTGTAGTTGTGGGAGGAGCATGTGTTTCCCTACTTAAAGGGAGTCCTTACCTTACTCCACACCGTTCTCGTGGTCTAAGTGATTTGCATGGCCCTCCCACCACTCAACATATCCTCCTTTTTCCTCCCTTTACCCTTGGGTGGGCCCTTTTTTATTTACATGCCTTACCGCATTGTCGGTTCCGACACACCACAACTGACTTGCTCTTGTATTCTAAACATCTCCTATACTTATTGCTTATTCTAAATACAGCTTTAGCCCCCAACACAAATTATATACACACACAAACACACCTTTATTTTCTATATATTTATTAAAGCATTTTATAATATATTATACAGATATAGTATTTCATTATAAATGTATATCTCAAAGTGTACACTTATAATAAAATAATATATATGCATTATATATTATAAAATGCTTTATTTTATAATATATTATACATATATAACATTTATTTTATTATTTTTTTTAAAACTTTTTAGCAGCCTGGGGAACTGTCTGACAGCTCAGACAGTCCCCCTGCTGGCAGCTCCTAGATTCCTATTGCGGCGATGTGATCATGGTGATCACATGCCCTGGAGGGCAGAGGTGGCCGGAGCCGCTGCAGGGGGACTGCTGGGGTCTCCGGCAGGCCCCCCCGACCGTGATCGCTGGTCCTGGTAAGTCCAGGGTTCCTGAACTACTTTTTTGTGTTGGACGTACCTAGTACGTCCGTGGTCGTTAAGGGGATATGCATTTATGACGTCATCCTAAATGTATTTCGATTTAAATATATATTTTATAATATCAAAATACAGTTAAAATTTAGATACTGGTTGAAATTTGTTCTATTTTTTCCCCCCAATTTATTTATTGATTATTTTTATTACATATATATATATATATATATATATAATAAAATTTGCGTTATCCTAAGTGTATTTGAATATTAATTTTTATATAATTATATAGATTAATATTAAAACACTTAATGATTTATGCATGTGTATATAAAAGTACTTAGATCATATATATATGATCCAAGTACTTTTATTTACTTTTTTAAACTTTCTAATAACTTTTGAAAGTTTTTTTGCAGGCATTAGGGGGACTGCCTGAGTGCTCAGGCAGGCCCCCTGCAGGCACTGCACAAGCTGGCTATTCCGGCCATGTGATCGTGGGGGTTTACTATCGGATGTACCAGGTACGTCCGAGGTCGTTAACGACCACTTTTTGTCGGATGTACCTGGCACATCACAATCTTCCTTAGAGGCTAAAAACATAAAATAACTTTCTAGTGGTGACAGATTCACTGTGTATAGGTGTTTCTGTAACATATATTTGGTATTAATATTAAAGGGACACTATAGTCACCAGAACAACTACAGATTATTGTATTTGTTTTGGTGAGTAGAATCATTCCCTGCAGGCTTTTTGCAGTAAATGCTGTATTTTCAGAGAAAATGCAGTGTTTATATTACAGCCTAGGAACACCTCCACTGGCCACTCCTCAGATGGTGGCTTAAGCTGCTTCCTGGGACAGTGCACCACAGTGTGACTAACGTTCAGTGTCTCCATCCTCTGCATGGAGACATTGAACTTTCATCATAGAGATTCATTGATTCCATTCATCTGTATGATCAGATACTGATTGGCCAGGGCTGTGTTTGACTTATGTTCTGCCCCTGATCTGCCTCATTTACAGTATCAGACAATCCTATGGGGAAGCATTGTGATTGGCTCAGACCACCACTTAGGAGGATGTCAGCCAAGCAGGCAGATCAGGGCAGCAGACTAGAAAAGTAAATTTACTATATTTAGTGAGGCAAGGAGGATGGGGGGGGGGGGCTAGATAGTGGTTTTAACACTATAGGGTCAGGAATATATGTTTATGTTCCTGACCCTATAATGTTCCTTTAAAGATTTAGCAATTTACACAACTA